AAATTGCCGCCACCCCCCACCAACACGGCTGGACAAAAGGCTCAGCAGTGGCCTGGTGATTGCCTCTTTTCAAATGGAAATGCCGGTTGCTTCTCTTCTGCCCGTTGCCTTAAGCAGTGTACAAATTACAGTTTACAAGGCATGGAGGAATAAAAAGGGGAGTAGATAGAGAGACGAGGAGGTGGGAGGAGAGGAGGGCAAGGCAGAATATCTTTTCTTGCTATTATTATTTTTTTTAATTCGCCAAAGTGACATGTAAATTAGCCTTTAAGTGCTCCACTCAGGGACTGTGATCGTGCCCTAATTGTCACAGTCAATTGTGGCCAACAGTCTCTTCAATCCAGGCGGCTTTTGACAACAAGCACGCCAGGATCAAAAGACGAATCATTGAGTCGGCTCCCAACACCTAAGCCAACACACACACACACACACACACACACACACACACACACACACACACTTTTATCTGCGGTTTAGCTAGCTGTGCAGGAAAGCGGTGAGAGTAAAAGCTTTACTCAGTTAGGATGTTATCCTGAACGTGTCAGAGTCATGAGGAAGTCTGGTTCATCTGGTGAATATCTGGGTTCAACATCAAATCTTACCACACTTGAAATAAGAAAAAAGTAACTTGAATGTAGATATAACGTATCTGTTCCACGGGCAGTTTACTTCACGACTAAAATATATTTTTATAAGTGGCATAATCTACCACTGGACTAGTAATTTTTATTTATTTTAAGGAATTATTGACTTAAACAACCTCCTTTATCTTGCAGAAAAGTTTATTGTAAGTTAGTTTTGTCTAATTTCAGTGTACAAAGATATTTGCACTATAAACTAGACAAAATACTTGGTAACATTCTGTGTCTCTGCAGTAGGAAGTGGATTTCAATGCAAGGCATTCTGGGTAAATGCAACCAAAACAAACGTGTGAGCCTAGCCTAGCATTAGCGGGAGAAATGGTTTATTGTCTTTTACCAAAGATAAATAACTGCTAAAATTTAACGCAACTCCATTTTTGTTTACATTTCTGAGGTTTTTGTGTGGTTTTCTTCACTGGTTCTTGGTGCAGCGCCCCCTCAGGTCAAGAGGGGAACAGCTTTTTCAAAATCTGGATAATTTAACACAGAGTGGCTGAAAATGTAACAAATGTTGCAACTTTAGTCCCCACGCTTTCTGTGCGACTAGTGGACTGTGAATCAGCAGAGAAAGTCAGAAACTTCATCAGAGGAGAAGTCTGCTGTGTTTGCTAGAAAGACGTAAACAAATAGAGCCACAAATGATGAAACTTATTCAGGAATTTGAGGGTTTGAAGCTGATTTCACCACGAAGTTCATCTGATTTTGGTCTTTTTCATGCTCAACATTTGCACCAAATCAAAGGCATTTAGTTAGGTTTAGTTCTTTTTGGTTGATTATTGACGTATTTACAATAAATGTCTGAACCACAGGATGACCTTTTCCTGAACCAGACGTAATGTTTCATCCATCTTACCCTGACTAATCATGCGACACGATTCACAAAGCTCCCTGGTCACAGTCACAAGCTCCCACTCACTGTCTCTCAGTGGACCGGACAATAACACCAAGACACTTTACTAGGTGACAATAAAGGAGGGAAAAAACAATGTACTGTGGCTAAAAAAGTATTTTCCTCCTTCACATGTCCAGATCATTAAGCTAATTTTAATATAATCCCCAGCAGTTCTCATTGATTATGTAAAAAAAAGCTTTCCAAATCAAAATCTTACCAAGTATTTTTGTTTATTTTCTAGCACAAATATCTTAGTAAACTTGAAATAAGGCTAGTGGACAAGCAATTTTTCAGCAAAAGTTGCTTTTAACTTTTGTTTAAAAGTTACAGTAAAATTTTCAGCAAAATGTAGGAGCTTGTTGTAAGTCAATAATTAAAAAGTTCTAGTGCTACTAGTAACATGGTAAAAATGTCATTTTATAAATGAAATATATACATAGTACTATTAAGGAATTATTGATTTAAAACAAGCTCCTATATGTTGCTTGTCTTATTTCAAGTCTAATTAAGTAAATAATTCCTTAATGTTGATTAAAACATGTACTAGGTCTATTATTTCACTTATAAAATTAAATTTTTATCATGTTGCTAATGAAACTGGTCATTTTTGATCAATATTAAAGAATTATTGACTTAAATCAAGCTCCTATATCTTGCTGAAAAGCTACTTTTAAGTTAATTTTGTTTTATTTCAAGTACCCTAAGATATTTGCAGTAGGAAGAATAAAAAATATTTGGTAGGATTTTGTGTTTTTATAGTGTGACTTTGGTTTCCATTAAAAGGTGAAACTGTTTTGTCATAATTGCTGTTTTGTGTTTTACTCCGATTACATAATGTTTAGAATTTCCTCTTCGTAGTCGAGGTTCCTGTATGCTCAACATATCTTTGGTTAGGCTCGCCTTTTAAATCTCTGAGGTGTCACGCTGATATTTTAAGAACAATTACTGAAAACAATACCAGTCCAACTTGAGCTGAGAATACCAGTAAACCATGATGGTTTTGGATGAGTTTGTGTTGCAGTGCCACCACCACGCCTGGCCACACACACACTGGGAATGTTTCTCCCTCCTATAGGAACGATGCTGACCATTAGGTGGACACAGTGTGAATTTATGGGTTTAACTGTGAAATGAACACATTTCAGGCTTCAGTTTTATGTGAGATATGTTTGTACACTGAATACAGAAGAGCTCATTATGTTTGAATCACTAGCTGGATATTATCATGTGATAAATCTTCCAAGTGGTCTAAATTTGAAGTTCTGCAGGCTTTGTGAAAGTATTCAGTGGAGTTTGCTTCAGATTTTCCAAACATTTCAGTCCAGTTCCGGCAAATAAATAATATCTAACAAGTACTGAGGTAAGCTAAACCTAACAAAACAAAGATAACCTAGGCCAAACTAGATAGATAACCAAAGGCTACATTTAATTTAAATAAGTGAGAGTAACCTTAAGTTAGCACAAACTAAGAGAAAGTAAACTGAGCTAAGATAAGGAAAATAAAATAAGCTAGGTTAAGCTACACTAAGCTAAAGAAGGCTAACCACAGGAAAGCTAAGCTAAAGTAAAGCAATTAGATTAAACTAAGATTATCTTGATTAATTCAAAGTCAGAGAAACATAGATGAGACAAATTAAGCAAAACTGGACTAAGCTATGCTAAGTTAGGCTAAACAAGTTAAGCTACTCTAAGCTAATGAAGGCTAACCGCAAGAAAGCTAAGCTAAAGTAAAGCAATTAGATTAAACTAAGATTATCTTGATTAATTCAAAGTCAGAGAAACATAGATGAGACAAATTAAGCAAAACTGGACTAAGCTATGCTAAGTTAGGCTAAACAAGTTAAGCTACTCTAAGCTAATGAAGGCTAACCACAGGAAAGCTAAACTAAGAAGTCAAGATAAACTAAGATTATCTAGATTAATTCACGGTAAGAGAAATTTAGGCAAGATAAATTAAGATAATCTAGACTAAGCTACGCTAAGTTATACTAAACTAAATTAAGCTACACTAAGCTGGGTTAGGCTAAGCTGAGACAAGGATGATACATTAAACTAAGCTAAGATAGGTTAAAATAAGGTAAATTAATCCAGGATGTGCAAAGGTATTTAAGGTGCACTATGCTAACGTAGCTAAACTGTAATAAATTAAGATAAACTAAGATAAGGTAAAATTAGATTAACTAAGTGAAATTTTACTTAGTTGTTCCTTGTGTCCAGGAAATTAGACGTAAGATACTCTCTAACTTAAGTTAATGAAAGATTGGCTAAGCTAATTTGGCTAAAATGAGTGAAATTAGTGCAAAGCTATACTTTTGTGAAAAGATTGACAAGGTTGCACATTTCAGCAATAAAGGAATTCTAAGTACTGAAAATATGAAATATTAAAGACAAAACAACTTACATTACATTTGAAAAATAGCTTAGCTTTGATTTAAAGGAAATAAAAACTGAATGCTGCTTCTCCATGTTTGGTTCTGAATCTGGAGATGCTAGGCTAAAGCTAAGCTAAAGCTAGCTAAAATAATGTCTTCTGTCTCCTAAACGTTAGTGCAGCTGTGTATAGTTACTTTAATGATGTAAAAATTCCTTTTCCAAGCATTTTTGGATCTAATTTGACCCATCGGTCTACCTTATTTGATGAAGTTTCAGCTTTAAAAGTTTTGGTTTTCTATTTTGGACTCAAGATACATAATTTAACTTCATATTCTGACTCTGTAACAGAGAACAGAGCTGTGTTTTCATCCACATTAGCATGTGAAATAATTATCCTCCTGTAAGTTTACATATTCCATTGAGTGTTTGGTTTCCAGGTTTTGCAGTATGATTGCAAATCTTGTTTTTCCAACCTTATCGATACCAGTTTGGTAAACAAATTTCTCTCCCTCTGTTAGCAGCGCATTATTTGAGCTGATCTGGTTCATGTGGACAGCTCTGGCTGAGTGGGTCAAGGTTTGTGCATATGGATGCTCAATCTTTTAATTCTATCTCCGTGTCCTGGGAGGATCTAACCTCATATACACAGGCAGATATTAAGAGCACGCAGATATGCAAATGTCTGTCGAGATTAGAGCTACAACAATTATTCAAATGTTTGATTAATTATTCATCGGAGACGCCGTCAATTATTCATTTCAGTGAGCGATAAGGCGCCTTTTTTCATCTTGGAGTAAAAAGTTTTCTTGAGGGATCTATCAGCATCCCAATCAGAACCATTTTATTTGTGGAGTACAGTAAATGTGCTGGATTTGTTTTGGTGGCACTTATGCAGAGACTGTGACGGGATCAGACAGTTAGACGGCGCGCATTATGTATTCTGTATGTGCAAACGCCTCTTTGTGTCTGCTTCCAACATGACGGGATCTTTCCTGTGATTGTTTAGCCAAAGAACCAGCCACTTACTCTGATATTCAAGCTCAGCCCGGCAGATGATGTTCAGTCTTATCAGTTATTGTTTTTATTGTTTTTAGATCACAGAGTAACGGAGCAGCAACCTCCAGTGCTCTGGTCATCTTCTGCAACAAGAAACTAAAACTTTAACTTCAGGTTTGTACAAGTTGACCTTTTTGTCCACTCCAGTTGATCTGAATGAACTCATTTTTTTTGGAAACTTAATCCACAAATAAGTTCTTTTGTAATATATTTATTGAGTTTTTGCATAGAGGATAAACGTTCAAACACCCCCAAAAACAATCAACACTCGGTATAAAATAAAATAACATTCAGCTAAAAATAAAGAAAAAACAATAAAATATCAAATCAGAAATCAAATTTAAAAGAGGGAAAAAAGATAAATACTTGTGTAAATATAAAAGTCACATCTTTTAGTAGTATTCAATTCTTAAATGGGTAAAAATATATTGCTACTACTACTACTAATAATAATAATAATAATAATAATGTTAAATGGACGCCCGTCTATTTGCAGATTCACCTGTTCTGGATTTTTTGTTTTGTTTTGGAACATAAATCCAAATTATTTTTGGAAAATCTGCTTTTTCTCTGATTTTCTTATTTAAATTTTTTTAAAATGTAAAACATGTGAAAGAAAAAGCCGTTTGGGAAGCTGAAATAATTATTTAATCTTCCTAAACAAGATGAAATAATTATTTCCACTGTCGTATCAATGTATTTTAAAGTATATTTGGAGTTTGAACGATTTGAATAAGCAGTTATTATCATTTCTGGACAGGTTATCAAATACTCATAAATTTTTGTTTTTTGCAGGCAGCTAATTTTTACTGCTAGTTTCTGTCTTCGCTGAATTTTTGGCGTCTTTTTATTGTATTTTAACCAAATCGTAATTTTGACAAATATTGATATTCATTATATTATCTTTTCCAGATTGTTTCATAACTAAAACATTCTTATCTTCTTATTAATTTGACAAAACTGCACATTTTTAATAGTTGTCATTCATCCAGCTCACTGTCGCTTCAGTCCTACTTGCTAGTGACTAAAATGACTTACAGACCAAATTACAAAAGGATTAAAGGGAACCAATTATGCAAAATTAATTCATTTTGCACTTTTTTGCTTTTCCCTCTGGGTTTCTACTGCTAATAAAAAGAACCCCAGGTGTTAAAAAAAAATAAGTCAGTGGGAGGTTTGGTGTCTGGAAAATGAGTCGTTTCCAAAACGTCCGGAAAGGATTGTCAAAAATCAGCTGAGACAACCCGTTACCTAGCAACCCCGGAAGAGTTCCGCCCGTTACCTAGCAACCCACGCTGGGCTCCAGCACATTTGATTAACTGGTTTTACTGCTGTACAATGGCTGCTGGAAAAAGTGGAAAAGTGTTTCGTTGTTGACTTAGAATCCAGAAACCACTTGCTGCATTCTTGTCGGTTGTGCAGGAGGCTCCACTTCTGCTTTTCACCTTTAAGTAATCGTGAAATAAAAGCCAGAGAATAATGAATGACAAAAATAACTCAGACATTTAGATCTGAGGTACTCAGTCGAGTTTCCCACCCTGGTGCTTTTAGAAACCACAAACCATCTGACCTCTTTTTACAGGAAAGAAAAAACATCGTATGTTTGTCTGTTTTACAAGAGCCTCAGTTGGATAAGTGGTCATTTGTAGAAGCCTCAGCTCAGTTTTCAGCTAACAAGAACAACATGAAAATCAATACTTTTTTTGCAGTGATCATTTGTTTCTGCAGCGTTCTTGTTCTCCTGGCGAGCTTTCTTCCCAAACTGAGTGAGATCAAAACTGCTCAGAGAAGAGCGCCTCTTTCCACTGCCTCTCTCTCTCTCTCGCTCGCTCGTGGCGAATGTAAACCAGATTCATTTTGCATGTTTTCACAGAGTCCAGCCTTCGCCTCTCGCTCTTTAATTGTCCGTCATTCTCTGGTGTTTTTGTGGCGTGGCCATCACAGAGCCGAGCCCCGCCGAGAGACGCCGAGTTTTGATGTCGAGGAGTTGCAAACAAGAGCGAGGAGGAGATGCGATCCGTCTGAACAACAACCGTTACTTTAATTAAAAAAAAAAAAAAGAGGAGAAAAGTTGCTTTCAGGGCTGAAACACACAAACTGTTTGCTGAGGGTTTAACACTCGAGAGGCTGAACTGCAGCCGCTTGACAGCTGCTTTGAATCGTAGGAGTAGATTTTCAAACTGTCCCTCCCTGCCGGTTTCATCTGTGGTCAGATCGGCTGCGTTTGGCTTCTACATCACAAAAAGTCGTGATAATTGGTATTTACTCCGTGAAAACTTTCAGTCCTTATAACTTCTCGTGTTCCCAGAACCAAATTATAAAGTGTAGAGACTGTAATGTCTGGTGTTCTGTGATCTTAAAAGTAAACGAATCCACGTGATTGAAATAGGCCGATGTTTAATTTCCCTTAAAGCTTTTTTTAATTTAAATTTGATTTGCAAATTAAATCATAATTTGACTTTTTGCAAATGTCTTCAATTAACTGCTACTCAGGCTTGATTTGATTTTTGTTTTTAAATGTTGTATATTCTTAATTATAGGCTTAGGCATTTATCGTTTATCATTTATCGTGATACATTTCTTGTCATGATAGGAATTTTGATTAATCGTTGTGATAAATTGAAATGATTGACTTTCAAACTATCTGTATTGTCAGGATTGTTAGTTTTACTGTCTTCTCCACAATTGGTTCCATGTTTTATATTGTTAATGATAGGGGTGATTATTTATCGTTTATCATTTATCGCGATAAATTTTTGCCATGATAGGAATTTTGATTTATCATCGTCACAATAAATTCAAATTAATGACGCTTAAACTATCCATATTGTCCAGATTGTTAGTTTTACTATTTTCTCCACTGTTGGTTCAATGTTTTATATTAATTATAAGACTGGTCATTTATCGTATCGTTTATCATGATAAATTCCTTGCCATTTGATGAATTCTAATTAATGATGTTTAAACTGTTCATATTGTCTGGATTATTAGTTTTGCTATTTTCTGCACAGTTTGTTTCATGAGAGTATCGATAAATATCAATAAAATAGAAAAAATGATTAAAATAAGTTACTGTGTGCAGTTTAGTTACATAAATCACATTTTTTATGTGACCTAAAGAATCATATTACAACTGGAAATGTTTCTGTTTGTGTTTATTGGCAGACACATCCACACACTTACCTAAATAAATAAGTAATAAATTGTTTTTATGATCATTTTTATTGTTGTCACAATACTACTACAGAATATCATGATAAAACTTCAAGTTCATGTCGCCCACCCCTAGTTAAATAATATATGTTTGTTTTTCTTTTAATAAGTTAAATAGTTTATGATTCATTTTGTTGCTGATTTATTGATCTAATACCTTTTAAAGTTCTTGATGTAGCAAGAAATGAGCTTTGACTTTATCTTTGTCTTACTGAGATTCTGATTCATTTTTGCTTAAAAACTAAAATTTTTACTTTTAAAGAAATCTGAGCAGTGTTCAGGAGAACCAGAGCGTACAAACAACAAATCAAACTAAATATTTAATTTCTTTCTCAGTTTAGTGCTAAATAAATTTAAACATGATGATATTGTTTGGTTGATTGATTGACATTGACTTGTTTTGTTTTTGTTCATGTTGAATTCAACATCTTTTAATATTAGTTAAGAAAAGGGGGTTAATGCGTCACAAATTATCCTTTAAATCGATTATTTTGTTGTTTAATCGCAGATAAAACAAGAACTGAACTGTAAAGTTACAGAGAAACTGCAGTTTCTCTGCAGTTTTCAGTTTTATTTTGAAACTGCAATCATTTCATGTAATGTTTTATAAAATGTATCAATAATTATGCTTTATTCTGGCTTCTTGTTGTAGATTAAAACCACAAATTCACTCACCTTTAAGTGGTTTGCAGTAAATTATGCAACTTCCTGTATGAGTTGAGCGTAAAGCTGCAGGAATGTATTCTAAATTTTTACGTTTCCATTTTGGCTCCATAATGCAGAATAATGTAAAAGTCTGTAAAAGTTTAATTTTCTTCATGTAAAGTTATAACTGTACGTACTGACTGTTTCTGACCTCATATTCTAGAATATAATCAGAACTTATTGACTGTAAAGTTGTTAAAAGAATTAAAGAGAGGAATTTGCAGCATTCGGTTGAGATAATTTCCTGTAATATTCGGTTTTTATTGGTTTTATAGTTCACTGTTTGTTAGAATTTACTAACTTTATGGTGACATCAAGATGTTAAGAACTGGTTTGCAGCAAATGAAGGAAGTCAAAGTTGTTTCACCACATTATGTGGTAAATGACGAGTTTTACCGCCAGATTCTCCTCTATATTTACTTATAAAGTTGCTTAAAATGAGTTTACATTTATCTGCAGAGTTACTGAAAATGTATAATCAATTCAATGGTTTTAATTATGCTTCATAAAAACTAAATCCAGGATTTACAAACTGTAACTTGGGGAAATAATTTGTTACTTCAGTTTTATTCTTTTGTGCAAATCAAAAATAATTCACTTGGTGTGGAATCGTTTATTTTAGGGTTTTGTTGTAAATACCTGTAAATTTACCTGAAATGTCTTCATATTGTTGACTGTACTCACTGTAAAGTCTCTTTTGGAAGAGAAAAAGGTGAATTAAGTGTCATTTTTAGTTGATGTCCTGACCCAAAAGGTCCTGACCTCAGCTGACCGTCTGATCAGATGCGATCTGGGCTGAAGCTCAGACTCGGTTCTGTGACTCTGGAGAAGCTGAATCATTGTTTTTGCTTGGAATCGGATCAGACTGGAGAGCGAAGCGTTGGCTCATGTTTGTTTAAACGACTCTGGAAGCCAGAAACGTTTTCCCGTCGAAATCCTCATCCAGGATTAAACGCTGACGCTCCGCCTCAGGTGAGCGGAAATATTTTACATTTCTGAGGAAATTTTTTTTAAATTCAAAAACCTCTCCTCCGTCTCGCAACAGGTTTGGGAGAAGCGTCTGATTCCTCCTGACAGGACGGAGCCTGAATTCATAGCTGGATGCTCTGCGTCATCACGTGACTCTCAGATCTAAATTAGGCCAATAATCAGGGACGCCTGGCGGCTGAGCTGTTGGATGCACGGCGTGTAGAACCCAGCTCAGGTGCCGAGGCTCTGCATGCATCGGCATCCTCTCTCTGGGTCCGAATCCAGAGCCGTTCCGACTCAAACCGCAGCAAGAAATGGGTGAAATGCGACGAATCCAGGCTGCTTGCAGCAGGTGCTGACCTCCGGCTCGTCGCTTAAATCCTGAAGCTGCGTCTTGTTCTGAGTTTCTGCTGCCGACTCGCTCCGTCACGGAGCAGCAGCTGCGTAACCCGAGCCCGCAGACAGAAGCTGCAACCCCACCGAAAAGACAGCGAAGCATCCCTGCTGCCTCTCTGCAGCGCCGCCTGGAAGGTTCAACGCTGCGGAGAAAAAAAAAAACGACAAAACGCAAGAGGCAGAAACACACAGAGGACATTTACAGGATCCAAGAAAAAAAAAAAGCCATTTTTTTAAGGTTTCAGGTTTTATTCAGAGGAATAAGACAAAAAATCATCTCTTTTTTTTTTGCAGAAATAAAACAAAATGTGAATGTTTTATTAAAAAAGAACTGAGTCAACAAATCCCCTGATTTAAAGCCATATATTCATTAAGAACAAGGTCCCCCTATAGGTCACACAGCCACTGTAATCCGTTTTCACGGTGAATATGTGGCCCCACAGAGGAGGCCACTCCAGCCTGTGTGTGTGTGTGTGTGTGTGTCTGTGTGTGTGTGTGTGTGTGTGTGTGTGCGCTTGGTTTACATGCGCGCTCCGTGGCAGTAAATTACGCATGACGATAATTCAGCCAGGACTGCATCCAGCACCAGGACAGACGCTCCTCCTCTTCATCCTCTTTGTTTTGGATGAAAACATTTAAAAAGAAAAAAGAAGAAAATAAATCAAATAAAATCCAAACTTACCCAAAGGATGCAAATCCTTCTGAGTCTCCTGCTGCAGAGGAAACATCAAAATGATGCATTCAGGGTATTTTTAGTTTGGTGAAATCGAACCCCAGCAGGAAAAAAAAAAATACATTCAAGTAAATAAATAAATGTTGCAGCTTGCTAATCGCTCTGAATGACAAAATAAAACATAAATTATAATTACTAATAAATAAATGTCAAATCTCATCTTTGCTTTTTAAAAACAAATTTAAAAAGAAGTCAACTTCACTGACACCACTCCTCTAAAAGACAAAATAAAAACATAAAAGTTGCAGAATTGATTTTCCTCTTTTAAATCCAAATATAATTTATTTCTGGTTGGGGGGCAGAAGGTGGCCACTGCTGCCCCGTCGCCCCCTCCCCTTATTTGAGCCTCTGCTCACACCTACAGACAAAGAAAAACAAAAAAAGGCAGAAACGCATTAAAACTAATTCATCAATTCATTTAATCAATAAAATAATGTAAATGAAGCTTATTTATCCCCCCTCCTTGTGGAGACACTTCCTCTTAAGTGTAAAATATTTTTTTAAAGTTAAATCAGAATAAATTCTCTCTCTTTTTTTTTAGTTTCCAGGGTTGCGAGGCGTCGATCTGCTTGGTTCCCCCTTTTGATTGATGATTTAATTAGCCATACAGTGGCGAGCTGCAGGAGGACAGGACACAATAACGCTTTATTTACATAACCAATCAGGACGCCGCAAAGGTGGAGCCTGCGCCGCGCGCTGCGCCGCTCCGCTCTGCGCGTTATTCACTCACAGCAGCACCAACACGCTCCACTTCCACATTTCACCCACTTTTTTCCGCAGTTTCTTGAATTCCTCCGCATTAACTGCGTCAGGAAATCAATAAAGTTTGCACAGATTCTGGTTGAATTTCTGCATGCGGGAAAATACCTGGAGGCGCACCTGGCCGCACCTGGCATCCAGGTGACGCAACGCAGGTGCGCTGATACGCAAATAAACATTTTTAAATCAATTAAAATACACAGAATGCATATTTGTAATGGGGGAGAAAAAAAAGATCCTTACGCGAGTCCAGCCGCTTCCCGTCTGATTCTGCAAAAATAAAGAGCCGCATTTCTTCTGCCGAAGCCGAGAAAACAAGAAAGAACGGATAGGAGGAGAAAGAGAGAGAGAGAGAGGGAAAGAGAGAGAGAGAGAGAGAGAAGGAAAAAAAAAAACAACTTCAACCCAGAAGATGCTCACGTTTGACTCTCCTCAATTATCCCCTCCCGTGAAGATAGGTGGCGTGCGTTTCAGGGGGCTTCTCCTTCTTCCTCCTCTGTGTTCCGCACGGCAGAGAAAAGGAGGTGGAAGGAGAGGAGAGAGAAAAAAATGTCATTAGAAGAGGCGTAACACGTCAGTCCCTACCCAGGTTTGTTTCCTGGAGTGGGTGTAAGACATCAGTTGTAAACCTGCCCTAGCAGGAATAGCGGTCCCTCCCTCCTCCCAACTATTTCTGAGGCTTTTATTTCTAAGGCTTTATTATTATCACCGGTGGAAAAGGATCCGCTCGCCATCATCCCTCCTCGGCAGCTCCCATCTGAGAGTCGCGTCTTTAACGCCTCCATTTAATAAATAAAAAAAAAAAACAAGCAGGTAGGTTCGACTTTCTTTCTTGTCTTTTTTTTTTTTTTTTTTTTTTTTTTTTTTTTCCTATTTTTTTCCCTCGATTTTTTTTTGAATTTGAACTTTCCCGG